TATCGGTTCATGGTATCGGTTAACTTTTACGAGTATGAGTACACACACATTTTACAGTATCGGCCCCGATACCCGATACCAGTATCGGTATCGGTGCATCCCTATATATAATATAATATGGCAACAAAAATAATTAAGTAAAATAATTAAGTGTGCCTTTACTGCTTCCATAGGAATTAAGAAGGTCAGTATCAGACATGTGCTGCTAATCAAATGCACTTGGTTAACTGATCATCAGCAGGTGTGAGCACCTCTATAAAAGCAGAAGTTTGGGAAGTTTGCTGGTCTGTTGCATTCAGGTGTGTGTTTATACAATACCAAGATAGAAAGGGATCAGCAATGATCCCTTTCTATAGAAACAACTGTTGCTGCCTGTCAGTCTGGGTGGGGTTATAAGGTCATTTCCAAACCATTTGAAGTTCATCATTCCACAGTGAGACCAGGTTGTTCAGTAACCTAGAAAACATTCAGCATAGCCGACAGTCTTCCCAAGAGTGGATGTCCTGGCAAATCCACCCCAAGGTCAGAGCATGCAATGCTCAGAGAAACTGCAAAAATCCCAAGAGCTACATCTCAGAGTCTACAGGCCTCAGTTAGCATGTTAAATGTTAAAGTTCATGACAGCACAATGAGAAAAATAGTGAACATGTAAGGATTGTTTGGAAGTGTTGCAGGAGAAAGCCTGTTCTCTCTAAAAAGATCATGGAAAGCATGGATTAGGTTTGCAAGATTACATCTGAACAAACCACAAGACGTCTGGAACAATGTGCTTTGGACAGACCAGACCAAAGTGGAGCTGTTTGGATGCACAGCACCACGTTTGGGGAAAACCAAATGCAGCACAAACACCTCATATAAACCGTCAAGCACGGTGGTAGCGTACTGATAATTTGGGCTTGTTTTGCAACCACAGGATTTGGGTGCCTTACAGTTATTTAGTTGACCATGAACTTCTCATGGTCAACTAAATAACTTTAAATAAATTTGATTTCTAGAATCAAATGTGAGGCCATCTGTCCTACAGCTAAAGCCCCAAATCGGATGATGCAAAAGGACAATGATCACAAGCACAGCAGCAAATCTGCAACAGAAAAGAATCAAGGTTGACTTGATTATAAAGCTGTGGGATCTTAACAGAGCTGTTCATAAACAAATGCCTGCAAACCTCAAAGAACTGAAGCAATGTTGTAAAGAAGAGTGGACCAAAGGTCACAGAGGGAATGATTACGATTAAGTTGCTACTAAAGGTAGCTAGCTACTGAGTGGGTGTACTTTCCACACATTACTTCTGCATTTTGGCTTTTGTTAAATGAATAATGGCAGGTATGTTTCAAATATGTTTTCAAATCATTTTAAGACTTGTTAAAGACCATATGTTCTTTTTCATTATGTCCTGATATATAAAACCTTAAATTTAACAGAAGGTGTATTTTCTTTTTACCACGACTGTACAAACAGCCCAAATGTGTATTTCTGTTGTGGAAAACAGTGTCAAAGGTGGACAAGGCTTTTTCACAGTCTGCTCACAACAATATGTTGCAAAGTTTGTTGCAGTTCTTATTCTACAGATTAGTAGCATGAGGTGTAATGCTATTTTTATGTAAGAAGTCTACACGAAACTGCTTTAACGTAATGGCCAGATTGCCAAATTGTCACTTGTAAAGTGACAGAGTATTTTATTTGCTTTCTTACAACATCTGCTCATGGCAACTAAAACTACAGATGTGTTTGTTTTTCAGAATTTACATTATGTGGAAAAAGAGCTTCCTTTAAACTTTAGGTGGCGCGCAAATTATCGTGAATGCCACACATGCCTCAATGCATGAATTTATTTATGTAAAACCTAATTAATTATCAAAAACACACATTAATTAAAAGTATCTCATGCATGTGCTGCTGCATAAACAATACAAGTAAATTGGAATTAGACTGAATACACATTCAGTGACATCCTCTCTGAGTTTTTCAGGCTATCCAGGAACCGCAAACGTTTACATGATAAATAGTTTCTCATTCACGATCGAACTAGCATTTTTAACACAATGATTAAACATTTTATTAAGATATGTCAGAAAAGCTCTCAGTTCATGTATGTTCCCTTATGCTTCTTGGTGGCAAAACACCTTTTTTAACATTTAAGCATCATTTGGGTCATATAGAGGTCAAAGCCATTGCTAATAATTGGCCTCCTGGACAGACAGTTGCACACTCTTGACACATGCATGTATGCAAGGCACGTCAACCAGTATCTACAGTAAATAAGAGAGAAATGAGAGGAGCGTTTTAAACCAAATATATTTCATAGCAGTGTTAAAACTACTGACAGTGTTTCTCAAGGCTGCCTGGGTATTTAGAGATGACGTGTCAATCTCTCGACCCTCATCTAATATGAAGGTTGGGGCACGTGTTTTTTCCCCACTGTTAAAGAGGAGAGTCCATTGGGAAAGAGAGAAAAAAAGACAAGACAGGTATTCAATAAATATTTTACAGTAGTTATAAGTGGTTAAATAGAAATTCCTCAGTTTGCAAGGGAATTAGTAACATGCTCTTCAGCTTTACCGTTCAGTCACAGTGATCTGCACTCAACAGTTTTTAACTGGTGGCAATGAGTGAAGCTGCAGTCATGAAAGAAGCAATGAGACATTAACAGAGTGTTTATCATTGCTCCATTTGGGACATTTGACGTTTTCTTAGAGCTGACCAAATGTTCTGGGACAAGTGGCTGCTCTTAGAGTTTATTTTATTTATTTTTTAAGGCTCACTTTATCGGACCCTCTTCGCCCAATCCCGGCCCCCCGGGGGAGGAGCGGCAGATGGACAGCTTATTGATTGATGTAGCTTTGTTGTAATATTCTGATGTACTGGGCTTAGAGAAAATCAAATGCTAATCAGCAATCACTGCGGCGTGCCAATCACTCATCCAAAGTGTCCTTTTCACATTGGCCGAGCCGCCTGAGCTCTGCGGTCCGCCTGTTGCGGTAGTGTTCTACTTATTTACTATTATTATTATTTTTATTTATTTTGCCAAATGTCCTCACATCTACAGTAATTTATTTATTTTTAACATTTCCACCACAACGAGTCTGCAGTAAGTAGATGAGACAAAGCTTGTTGCCAAGCTGCAATTTATTTATTTATTTTTCATTTGTCTGGTCAGTAACATTTCCTGCTGCATTTAAAGGGACAGCTGTCAGCACCTCTGATCAGTTTTATGTTAATGAAGGCTGTGCAGCACGATGGTGGTTGACTAACTGTGGTATCTATCGAGTCTGATTGCTCGCAGGTGTGCTTGGGCATATTTCCACTGTAAATGTTGGCTGAGAAATCAACAACCATTTCTAAGCAACCTTGATTAATGAGGGCTCTGATATCCCAGGTGTAATCAGCCTTTGATTACAAAGAAAAGAGCACATCCGCTGTTGTGACCTTCATTTTAGGTCATGGTTGTTTTTTTTATGCTTTTACACGATAATGTGTGCACTCGTTTCCTTTCTAAAGGTCTCAGCTGTCGAAAAAAATACTCCAAATGTTAGTCAGCAAGTATCTATACCTAAGGGTAAATACAGTATACGGTTGATGGATGCATATCACATCAATAGGTGTTCATTGCCTGACAGTCGTATAAAACTTTCAGCAGTTGACAGTGAACTCTGTGGATTATCCAGAGTATCTGGGACATTGTCGTATGAAAAACACAGTTGCTGTTGGAGGCAGAAATCTCAGAGGCGGATGTTTCAAAGCTGGGCCTCAAACTCGCAACATGAAACGACGACATCTTTAAGCTCGAGCCGTGGGACGCGGCAGCTAATCAAAAGAGGAGTCACAAACGCCCGAGACAATTATACCGGCAGCGATAGAGGAAAGCATCCGCACAATAAGACAATAATGTAAAGTCTAGATCTGGATTCACAGAATGCAACGGAGAATGAAAAACCTAATAAAATGCTTTTTTTATCAGCTGGAGAGGTTCAGGTAGGTGAGAGGAAGCGAGGGAATGGACAACAGACTTCAAACTCTAATGAAACTTAGATATGTAAAATAGTATAGCTGAATAAAATCAAAGGTAGACATCATGAGTTAACAAAAATGCTGTGGATGTTAGGTTACAGCTAATCTAACACACGATTAGTTTACGTTGACCTGAGGAACCAAAGCTGTTTATTATATTGAAAATATTCTCCTCTGTGTACACAAAGAAAGAAGGATTCACCTTAAATCTCGTTTGATGCCGTTTGTGTGTCGGTGCTGTCAGCACGCAGATCACACGAGTTAAATGTGGCACCACTTCAGCCGACCTCAGCGAGAGACAGAAGAATTTTAACAACCTTGAAAGGTCATAACCGCCGATGGGCGTGATTATTTTCATCTTTTCATATCCGAGGATCTAGATTAAAAAACTATATCAGAATGGAAATCGTGAGCATATTGTCGGTGATTTTTCATGCCCTGCCTTTGTCTTTGCGGGTTTATTTTAAAATTGAAAGATTTGCTGCTTGTGATTGTTTAACTGAAGTGACACTCAAGGCCTGATTGGGTTATTTGCTCCGTTTTTGCATCAATTTAATTTTAATCCTGATTCTCTCGCATGCAGAATCCATTACTGTCTTACTGATGTTTGTAAAGCAGTTTTGGTAAAATTGAAGTCACTCTCATAGAGCTAAGAACATAATTAGAAAGCACAGTGATAATGGAGAGCCACAAAAATGCCATAGGTTATTTCTTCTTCTTGTAAACTGCCTAAATGAATTCCTTAGTTGACCCCTCAAAGAGTAAATAATCTCATCTGCTGATATTCAGGTTTAAATTTCTGTGTATATGTTGAGTTATAATTCTAGATTATTTATCTATTATTCAGTTTAAGAAAAGAAAACATGATAAAAGATGCTACGTGATTGCAGGAAGTGAACAAAACCACCGGTGACGCTAGCCCCCGGGCTACAAGGGTGCAACCAGCCGTCTGTTTCTTTACCGTCACTGATGGCCGTTCTATTAAATAACACTGACCGATGGAGCTGAGAGGTGGACTGTGCCTCTGGAAAAAACGAGAAGTGGCTCATATTAAAATGTCACAGAGTCCTTGGTTAAGATATCCTTATGTCCTCCACCTGATCTTTATTTTTCTGGTGTTCAGATTCAGATTGAACAAACATTTTTTACTGTCCTGCAACGCTTTTAAGAAGACTTTGGTCACAAAGTCTTTTATATGTTAAGCCGAACAATGGATGATTTTTTTGCTACACAAATAATATTTCTTATCCAGTTATATTAAATATGTTAATAGACACCTATGAGCACTGGTGTTGGGATAGAAGAAAAGAAATTCATCTCTCTTCTGTAAAATTCAGAATTTAAAAGCCCTGCAAGCAGCCCCACGAGACCGTGGAGGCTGCTTCACCCTTCACCAGCTGACCAAACCAACTGAGCAGTTCTGGGAGCACTGCATTTCAACGAGAGACACACAACAAGTGTGCAGGAAGCACAAACACATGAACTGAGTTTGTCTCCTTTTGTCTTCAGCTCTGTTTAACTTAATTCCTGTGGGTCTGAGAGTCGTGGCCATCCAATCAGTTAAGACCGGTCTCTACATCGCAATGAACGGAGAGGGTCACCTTTACTCCTCGGTGAGTGCACGCACACAGACACACACACACACACACACAGACACAACAAGAAATGCTTTGTTTCAGCTTCTTTAATGCGTGCGGCACAGCACAGGGAGCTTTAACCGATTACAACCGGTATTACGGCGCTTTCCTGTTTTTTGTGCAATGCTCAGGAGAAATTGTTTAGCTTACTTGAATTATCTGAATTTATCAATGACAACTTATTGTGTGATTTTAATTATTGAGAGCTGGACATATTATTGCTTTGAAAAAAGTCAGAAGGCTTTGCTTTGTCTGCAGGGAAACTGTGAGCTGAGAGATTAGTCTGTTAACTTTAGCTCCGATTAAAGTGGTAAATTACTTTGCTTGAATCTGGTCAAAAATAGTTTGGGAAATAAGCAGAGATAGTTTTTAAGGTGTTATTTCATTATTTATTTCAAACTTCATATATTTATTTGACATTTGAATAATAAAATGTAAATAAAAATTGTCACTTTCACCTTAATTGTTTAATTTGGTGGGAAAAAAAATCTGTTTAAAAAGAAAACAAGTAAATATTACAGTGTTTTTTCCTCTTGGCAACCAAATAGTAAGAAACAACAGGAAAAATTAATATTTTTCAAGGAAGGTAACACAGGGTTATTACGTTTACTGTGCATGGATTGGTTAAACTTGTGATTTCTTTTGTCATTTTTGCTTAAATGGCTCATCAGTTATCAAAATGAGGGCCTATTATTTCTGTGAATTACCTAATGGGCTCCTTGACTAATTTCCAGAATAACATTTGGATCTAGTGACACTCTTTAAAAGAGCCAGATGTGAACTAAATGAATCACCGTCCGGCTAATGTGACAGATATTTTAAAACATATATCATCACCTTCCACACTGACGTTATATTGTGTGGAAGAAACATGAGGGGATTTTTGTGTACAGCCCTGCTTAGTTACCAGGTGTAGGGACTGTTTGGACTGTATCCAGGGACCTTGGTCTTGATGTGGAGTTTTTGGCTCGAAGGACACATGAGCTTATGCCGTGGTTAGGCGTCCGTTATCCATCTGTCCGTGTCAACGAGAATCACTACGCCTCCTAGAGTTTTATCGGTCGTGCACACAGCGATCAACCAATGCGTCTCGACTCAAATTGTGCTCAAGGTCAAGGTCAAGTTTGTCATTTTACAGGCACTTTTCCATTTTCACAAGATTCACTTTTCCTCCTGGAGTATTAGTCATATTTTACTTTCACACAACAATCATCTCATGGGTCCTTACCCGAACTGAGGTCAAGCTCAAGGTCATATTTGCTGCTTTAGCTTCTGTTTTAACAGCATAACTTTCTTGCACAATAGTTAGAGTTTCACCAAATTTTCACACTTGATGTACTGAACAATAGTCAGTTGAAACCATTTAGCATTTAGAAACCATTTAGCAAAGATTCTCAGTGTCTGCATGCACATAAGTACAAAGAATGAGCTTCATGAAAATACTAAAGAAAGTTTAAATATCACTTTGCACACGTGTTGAATCCCACATATCCTGTTAGATGGTGATGAGCATGATCTTATTGGTCATGATTGTGGAGGGAGTGGTCTTATTGGTTGCCTCCCACATTAGAAGGGATGGTTGGAGGGCCTCCCTATTACCATAACCTAACATCAGTATTGGGACCAGTGCTCTGAAATGCTTATACATTCATGTATTTTCATGCTTATTATGGCTACAATGTTAAAACACTTTCCTTTGACCTGAATTTGAGTGTTTATGAGCCCCATTGACCTAATAAAGGACTTTTGATTCTCATTAGCTTGTGCAGTACTTTTCACTTCTGTTCTGCACTTCACACATTACAAAAACCTGTGAATTGTGATAGATCGTGAGCTGTGTGAGCCACTACATCACAGATCTTCTGTATTCTGATCTGTGTGACGGTACACTGATTAAAAATCAGATGCAAAGATCACTAACCCAGCATGTGTTGGGAAACTTTACTGAAATCTGGCTTTAAAATATGAAAAAAATAAAAAAACATACGCTGTTGTTCTATAAAGCTGGCAATGAACTGCTGCTGATTAATTCTTAAAATCAATTAAAAAATAAACTGGAAGGCTTGTCAGAGTTTTGATTGAGAGACGAATACTGAGTCAGAGCCAGCGGTTCATAATAGCACAAAAAGCTTTTTTCATGTCAGAAGATAATGTGAAAGACCCATTTTTTAGGTTTTGTGGGACAGAAGATTGGAGACAGTTTCATTAGATAGAAAGAGAGAGATGAAAAGAGAGATAAATTGCTTTGAATAGATGCCAGTGAAGCATATTAGCCTGATTACAGACGAGTATGCGTTCAGTCGGTCTTTTATTATTTGATAATCGTTAGATTCTGTGTCCTTTCCAGAAGCATCTGCTTCCTGAACATAAAAAATTCAGACAATGAAAAAAAGAAAGAAAGAAAAATCTGAAAACCTTGTCGAATAATTGAAATAAGAAAGAGACATGGAGAACAATAAGAAAGACATGACAGGGAGACGGCAGAAGAGGTGAAGAGCAAGTGGAGCGGAGCAGGATGGAGGGGACGTGAGGTAGAAGAGTGGCGGCGTGAAGATGTTTGAGCAGAATATGAATTATTTCCATGCTGACTCTTCAGAGAAAGTTCAACCTCTTCCACTGACGTCCCCTCTTCTGACATCACCCCTGCTTCCTCCCCTTCATTTCTTTTTTTGGTTGGAGATGACAGGAGCTGAGGAGGAGGGGAAAGGAGGTGACGGGAGAAGGAGAGAAGTAAGGAGAGGTGATGGAGAAAGAGAGAGAGAGGGAGGGAGGAGACGGGGGAATAGAAATGGATGGCGGCGGAGAGGAGAGGCAGAGACAAGAGAGATGAAAGGAGGGAAATGAAAGGGAGAGGTGAGAGGAAAAAGGGTGAGGCCAGTACATGACAGAAAAAAATGAAAGGAGGAGAGGGGAGAAGAAAGAATAGACTTGGATGTGAGGCAGAAGAAAAGAAAGTGGAGAGAAAGTAGGGCAAGGACAATGAGGAAAAGATCAAGAGGATGGAGGAAAAGGGCTGCAGACAGAAAATAAGAAAGGAGGGAAGGTGACACAGAAGAGGTGAAAATGAAGAGCATGTAAAAGGATGAGACAGTCAAGGAAAAATGGGAAAGGAACGAGAGTAAAAGTCGTAAAAAATGACAGAAGGAGGTGGAGAGAGGAGATGAATGCAAGAAAGACAAGAGAAAATAGAAATATATGATGTAAATGTGAGGAAACGACATTGATTAAATAAGAAAGAAATCTGGAAATGAAGGAGAAAAGGGTAAAACAGAGGAAAAGACTGAAGGGAGGGGACTGCAGACAGAATGAAATGAGGTAAAATGTTGTGGAGCTAGACGTGCAAAACACAAATGAAAAATGTATGGAGAAAAGGGGAGAGGATGGAGAGGGAGGAGGCGAAATGTTTAGGAAGAAGGGGGAAAAGGACGAGAGGAAAAAGTTGTAAAAAAAAAGAAGAAAGGAGCAAAAACAAGCCTGTGGACAAAAGGGGGTAATCGGGAAGAGAAAGAACGGAGATCTGTGCTGCTCTGCTGGGCTTTCTCAGCCTGTCGCTGAAAGTCACAGATGCATGAGGACTTCCTGTAAATAATTGAAGAGGGGGAGTCCCCCCCTACATATACACACTCACACTCAGCATAAATCCCCTCTAAAGCTGCATAGAGGGAAAGTGAGCATGTTTGATCATTTTCCAGCTCTGTGACCGATGTGCAGACAGCTACAAGATAACAAATATATAAATTATATACAGCAGGATGGGTTTATTGTGATGTCAGCACTGCTTGATGCTTAATTGGTTGCTGCAAAGGTCCTGGCTGTTGGAGTGGCTCGCACTGGTAGTGTGAACCAACCTGTAGAAATACTCATTAAATGTTATAAGGGTGCCATCACAGTTCGTTTTATCCTGCTCTGGACATGAGCAGCGATGTTTAGCTTTATGTATTTGGTAATTGGTTGTTTCAGGTTCGCACTAACCAAAGAGCTTTATTTTGGACACAGTTTGGTTTATCTTTCATCCCTCTTGGCTACATAGGAATTGGACTCCAGTGCCTGCAACTTCAACAAGACATGGTGCACTTGTTAGCAGTCTGTTCTGTAACGACTTCAAGATAGACCAGCAGTCCAAAGCATTTTGCACTTGGAAGGACTTTTACATTACAGCGTGTTTGCTAGCAGGTGTAAAAACATTATCTTGTAGCCGCAGTTGTGTGAAAATGTAAGCAACCCTTTCAAACAGTGCCTGCAGAAAAAGGTGATATATTTCAAGAACACCACAAGGAAAATCAGCTTTTTCTACCATATATTAATTAAAGGGTTTTTTTTAAGACAGATATCAATACTTGGTGATTTTAAATTCTGATATATCGGCCGATATTTTCTTTCCAACACACAAAACATAAACAGATTTTATCAATATAATATCAATCTATTGTCACAACTTGTGGGTTACCCCCTTACTCTCTGACAAACCCTGCTCAGGTCAGTCGGTTGTTTTTGTCACAGTGATGTGGGAGTCGACAAATTATGCAACTTCCACACTCATAACATGGTTGAAGGGTGCTTCTTCCTGCTCTTTGTTACGTTTTACATTTGAATTTATCATCTGTTATAAATGCCAACACTGATATACCAGCAATCAGCTAATATCAGCGGGGCCAATATATACATCTTTGACATAAGACTTCATATGTGCTTCCTAAATTCCTTTTTTTCAAGGATGCCTTCTTGTTTCTTCCATATAAAGCCTGTATTAAATACTCCACAACAATTAAATGTTTAACTATGAGCTATTCAG